CCCCCTGCCATCTCAAAGCCCGTCTGCCTCCTGCCCCACCCCGAAGCCCTATTTCACTCTCAAGCCCATCGCTTAAAGGGCCAGTCCACCTAAAATGTTAGGGGAATTTAAGGGGATACATACTGCAACACTCCACCTCAAACACGAGTAAACACAGGCACACTCGCTCCTGCCACACCGCCCCCATCCAACCCCGCAACCGTCAAGTGTCCTTGGCCCATATTTGTTCTTTCAGCGTCTTCAGGTGATTGGGTGATTTACCACAATGCTGTTCATTGGAGTGTACTGTGTACAGATTAGTTTCTCTGTTTATCATGATACTGTGGTATAATGTTGTCAATCGGTTAATAATCCAGAGATTTAGACTAATGTTTAAAAATTCATTTAGAGAATGAGGGGCTGCTGGCTAGGCAGCATTCATTGCTTATCCATTTTAAAGGTGATGGTGAGCTTCTCTGGGGATATGGGTTCAAATTCTGCCACTCTGGCAATCAATGAATAAAATCTAGAAATCAGAGCTAGTTTCAGAAGAAGTGATTTTAAAGACTATTGTTGTAAAACCCCACCTGGTTCACTGATGTCCTTCCCAAAAGGACATGTGCCACTCTTAATGTACTGGCCTACACAGCAATGTGGTTAACTCTTAACTGAAATGGCTTGTAAGTTGTGGAAGCTGTATATTGCTGCAAGTCATTTTCTTTTGAAGTGCTTCACAGCCAGTTGATGCCTCTGAAGTGTATTCACTGTTGTAACGACAGCACAGCAGCTAATTTATGCAAAGCAAGCTGACAAACAGCAAGGTCATAGTGAAAGCAGAAGTTGGTGGAGAAACTCAGCACATCTGACAGCGTCTGTGAGGAGAAAACAACTGTTAACTTTAAATCCAGTGACCCTTCTTCAGAACCCTTCACTCAGCATCTGCAGTTCTTTGTTTTGTTTCGGCAAGGTGATAATGACTAGATAATCTGTTCTAATGGTGTTGGTTGAAGGTTAAATGTCAGCTCGGATACGAAAATGAGCTATTGAGTGCCATGGGATTTTTATGTTGAGCGAATAATCTTAGCTGAAAGCTAGCATTTGAGTGTGCAACATCCTTCAGTTACTGCATTGGGAGAGTCAGCCCAGAATTTCATGCTGACATCTTGTGTGAATTGAACCCACAACCTTTTGGTGCAGGTAGGAATGCTACCTACTGGTCCAGAGCTGATGTTTCTATTGTGTTCCTGTGCCAAAAAACAATAATATTAGTACACGCCAGCCAAATGCATTGCAAGAATTTTCCGTTTTGGATAGGATGATATCTGCTGCACTTTGCCTTTTTGCTTTTTCCAAATTTATCGATTTTGTTTTCTTTTTACAGTAATACCATACTATGATCTGAAGGCATTGCTGATGTTTACCGTACACTTACTATGGATCATGTTTCACTGTGTTACCTGAAATGCTCTGGATGTTCCATGCTAAAGACACTACATGAATGCAATTTGTTTAATGTACACTCGTTACTCCTACATCAGGAGTGCTCACAGCTCACCTATCAATACTCTTCGTCTATGTAGGTTGAAGTTGGGAGATTGGAATTAGACTTGGCCGTGATACTTCCACCGTTAAATAGCAACAGGCATTCCTGACTGTAGTTTGGACATGCTGAATAGTAGTTACGTGAAACATTGTAGAGTAGTCTTTCCCAGCTATGTGCTATTGTGTACCTCTGAGGTTTATAGGAGGCAATGAGTTTTCTGTTGAAGTGCAATGAGTAGAAGGATCTTGGCACAGTATAAAAGCAGCTGAAGGGGTGAGGGGGTCATTGTTTGAAGTGACAGGAAGGTTTCCAGATCTTCTTCCCCTATGTTTTAGATCCATCCACCTACAAAGATGAAGCTCATGCAGGAAATCTGTTCTGTTGAGGATACGGTATGGTTTGAATGATGGCTGAAGAGACCAATGTGCGAGAGACTAATCTGGCCCACACTAAAAACAGTGATGAGATTGGAGAGCTGCCATAGACTGAGAGGCACCTACTTCTCCATTCTGCTAAAACTATAAATGTAGGATGAGCTGTGTAAACCATTTGGCCCCTCAAGTCCACTCTGTCATTCGTTTAGATCGTGGCTTATCTGATAACCTTCAACTTCACTTTCCTGCCTTTTCCCTCTCGCCCTCAATTCCCTTGCTGACTTTTTTATCTGTTTATCTAAGCCTTGAATATATGTAATGACCCAGCCTTGACAGCCCTCTGAGGTAATAAATTCCACAGAAAATGTTTTCTGTCCTAAATGGGTGGCACTAAACTCCACAAGGAGAAACGCCTCTACCCTGTCAAGTCCCCTATGAATCTTGTAGCTACTTGATTGAGTTGCAGTAATGCAGACATGGGGCAAAGAAAATTCCACAATAGTTCGAACACCCACGGGGAGCTAAAGGTGCCTTTCCTCCCAAGGCCAACGGTCCTCAGTATACATGATCACAAATTTCTTGTATGCTATACCTTAAATATTATTTTCTAAATGAGTTGACTAGTTACTCTGCTGTTGGTGATGGTTGAGGGAGAATAGTTGGCCAAGACGTTGGGAGGATGTTTTACTCCCCTTCAAATAGTACTGCAGGATTATTTGTGTCCATTCAAACCAAAAGAACAAAGAACAGTAAAGCATAGGAACAGGCCCTTTGGCCCACTAAGTCTGCACTGACACCTGACACTTTTCTAAACTCAAAAGGCTTAAACATAGCGATTTGTGTCTGCTTCTACCACCTTCTCTGTCAGCGCATTCCAGGCACTTACGACCCCTGTGTTTTAAACAAAAACAAAAGCCTGTCTCTCGTTATCTCCTCTAAACTTGCCCCCTTTTACCTTAAACCTATGACCCTAGTGAGGACAAGTTCTAGTAGGTTTTTCCTTGTTGATTCTCTCTTCTGTTGCCACAGGCCCATTTTGCCAGATGTGTCCTCCAGAATTCATTCATTAGTAGTGCTAGTGAACCTCGGTGATGAGCATTGAAGTTCCTCACCCAGAGTATGTTCTGTGATCTTGTGATCCACAGTGTTGCCAAGGGCTATTCAACATGGAGCAAGGATTGTTGAAGGAGGGACAGTAACATAAAGCAGGTTTTTGGTTTAATCCCACATCTTTGCGTTGCCTCAGTGCCAATGTTTCCACTAAGCTGCGTGCAGAAGGTGCTGCCGAGGCTATTCATGAGTTATAGCCTTGAAGATGCCATGTCCCTTTGGCTGGGCAGCAAAAACAGTTAAAGCTACAGTGCACTGAAGTGAATAGGCTTTGCACACAAAAATTATAGAAGGGACATTGCACTGCAGTTCTGCTGAGATTGTGCTTGCTTTGTAAGATGGGGCCTGAACTTTCAGCCTTTTGACTCTGAGGTGAGAATCTTGTGATCTGGACCTCAATTCCAGCTGTGCTTTTACATTTGTATGCTCATGAAGAGGAATGCCTGTGCTTCAGTAAAAGGGAAGGCTGTGTGTTTTGGAAGCCTGCAATATATAAAAAAAAAATCTGGAAAGACTATGGTTTAATATTTGTGATGGGATCAGATATATTCTCAGCACAGAAGCTAAACACTGCTCTGTCCTTTCTACCACTTCGAGATTTCCAGCACCTGTAGTTTTTTTTTAAGCTAAAGGCCAGCACGTTAAGTTTGAAAAAGTAGAACAAGAAAGATATGTGGGGGATAAAATGCACAAACTATGCAGATAGTCAGAGATAGTAGGAACTGCAGATGCTGGAGAATCTGAGACAACAAGGCGTAGAGCTGGACGAACACAGCAGGCCAAGCAGCATCAGAGGAGCAGGAAGGCTGACGTTTCGGGCCTAGCCCCTTCTTCAGAAATGATGGGATTATGCAGATAGTGAATTGACCACAGAATACTTACTTAAAAAGTGGTGAGATGGCTGTAACATAATGCAGATATGGGAAAGCTGAATATATGTACAAAATGGTGGAAACTTCCAGCAGGTGTGGCGAGGATGGAGGATGGAGGGGGGTGCGTGGGTGCGAGGGAAGCAACAGTGTCAGTGTTAACATTTCGGCTTGTCTACCTCCTGTCAGGTGATGCAATAAGATAGGTAATGGACAATGTAGAAAGGAGGAAAGAAAGCAAATAGGGAATGGAGGAGAGGGTACAAGAAGTGTTTACAACTGAACAATGGAGGAAATAAAGGTTGAGGTACCACAGATAAACGAAGGCAGAAATTGCTTTTCAGTGGTAAGAGGTGCGGATATGTTCTGTGCTGTTGGTTGAGACTGCTGGTGCTTGGCTCTGGAGGTTGAGAGTTGGTTATGCAGCAGGCATTGATGTTAAGATAAGAGACAATAAGAAGTGACAGACAGA